TAGTAGTAGTAGTAGCAGGAGGAGGAGTACTAGTAGCAGTAGTAGTAGTAGTTGTTGTTGTTGCCGTTTCTGTTGTTGTTGCTGTAGTAGTTGTAGCATAGCTAGTGTAGTGTAGTGTAGTGTAATTAGTATTACACTAATTAGTGTAATTAGCGTGCTGTACTGTAATTAGTGTAGCGTAGTGCAACTAGTGTAGTGTAGTGTAGTGTAATTAGTGTATTGTAGCGTAGTATCTTTGCATATGTATGTGTAGTTGTAGTGGTAGTGTAGTGTAGTTGCAGTTGTAGTTGTCTATCTATCTATCTATCTATCTATTTATCTATCTACCTATCTATGTACCTATCTATCTATCTCTGTCTATCGGCAACCTCTCTCAGGAAATGAGCGCTTGGACCTCCTAACATCTCTGATGAACCTGTCCCTTGTACTGCGCCTGCCACGGAAAATACATGTGTGCAAATCCTCTTGAAATGCCCCACGCCTGCCAACGCTTTTGAAACTGCTACAAATTTCAAAACTTTTTGATCACTTTTGACAAGGTGCAGAATCCCTTGTGCTGGCCACGCGAAACGACATCTGAACATCCAAAAGTTGTCCGAACTTGTGGTGTTTTTAACTTTTCGCTTGCAAACTCGCTTCGCGCCACAACGGAGTGCAACTTTTAATCTCTCATCTGGCCAGCTGGCTCGGCACCCGCCGCTTTAGCGAGCCTACTTTTCGACCCTCCGCGGAGCCACAAATCATTGAAAAAACACACTGTGTCGCGACTTTCCTACCTTTTCGCGCACCTGGATCTTCTTTCTTCGGAGACTTTCTCTTTTTTGATCTTGTCTCTTCTTCTCTTCTCATCTCTGACTCTTCCCACCTCTGCTTTTCCATCTGTCCATATTGTCGGAAGTTTGACTTCTAATTAAACTTCCTTCGATAAATATGTAGATATACAGGCATGCTGCTTCACTATATGTTCATTGGCATTGGTCAATTAATACGACATTCATGCGCAGGTTTCCCAAATGGACCATGGGTACCCCCAAATCATTCATTTGTTTTAAAGTGTTTTACCATCAAAAAACAATCTAGCTTTTGTTTTTTTCCCAATGACTTAGGGATCCTCCTTTCACCTATCAGATATGGTTATTTTCCATAGCTACGTTCAACAAGAACCATAATGGAGAATAATCATATTTAATAGGTGGCAATACAACCCTAGGGGCATACCTAGAAAGGCATACCCCATTATTTTACCGCAACAATATGATCCAACCTATATGTTTCAAAAGGTGGTAAGCTCAACCAACGAGGAAATGATCGATGCGATCTTCCAATGGATGACCAGCCTCGGTTGCATTGACACCTCCAAGGCGCCGGTTCCGAAAAGACGTCTCGAAATGGTGGATGTTCCACATCTATTTTAGTTTACTCCAGAGTAATAAGGGTTAATAATGGTTCATAAATGGATAATCCAGGGTTGTGCTGAACTAGTCAAATCCCAATAGTGTGGTAAAACTGGTTAGCCCACTAGTAAACCTGCCATTTGGAGATGATTTTTGAACCACCCATATATGGAAATATCTTGGCTGGTTTCTTATTGAGTTGAATCCCAAGCAGTGATTTATTCCCCACCTGCCAGGTGAGGGTCTCTAGATTTTAACAAAGGTGCTAATCCTGCTTCTTTTCCTCTTCCTCGTCTCTCCTTCCTGTGTCATCTCTGCCCGTCGGGATGCTGTGGGCCACGCCTGGACCCGATGGTCATATCGCAAACTCTGGTGGCGGTGGAGTGTGCCTGGACGCGACCACCATATCGCGAGCTCAGGAGGCTGTGGAGCGGGCCTGGACCCGAATTCATGCCAGAGAGAATGCCGGAAAGAATGTCAGAATAGATGCCAGAAAGAATGTCAGAATATATATATATATGCCATAAATACTTCCAGACGGTATGTCAGAAACTATGTCAGAAACTATGTCAGATTAGTGTTGAAGGGCGGGGATCACTCAAAGAAAGTAATTATGATGCATTTTAGGTGTGAATAATGCGATTGATTTACATTATTGATGGGCTAATCTTCATTATTTGGTTAGCCATTTGACATATTGTTTATCTTCCATCCTGCCCGACGATGATCCCTAATGACGAAAGGGCGATGGCCAACTATGACCATGTCTATTTATCTATTTGTGTTGGTGGGTGCGTTTGTCCGAGGCCAAGGATTGGGACATCCTAAAAATCTTCAAGTTGATCCAGAAAAGCCCACTTTCGAGTAGATTCTCCAGGTTTCGGGGCAAACCTAGTTTGTTTGTCATAAATATGTAAGGATACATCTTGTCTCTCCTGGGCAAGCCTCCATACCTAATTTTGAATGTAGGGTGAATACCTAATTTCAACTATGGCTGCAATTGTCTTGCGGCCATTGATAATGCGATGCAAGCACTCATGTATTGTGTTCCTCCTTTTTGTATTTATACATATATATATATATAGGATATATACATACACATATATATATATAATATGTTTATAAATTTCGTATTATATATATATATGATATGATATATCTATATATCATATCTTATATGTGTTACATAATGACGTAATATATATATATATACATATTTATTTGCATTTAATATCGTATATGATATATTTATATCATGTGTGTATATATATATATAGAGACAGAGATATTTACATTTAAAGATATACACATATCAGATATATATATATATAAATATATACATATATACATATATATATATATATACAAATATATATATATATATACATATATATATATAGAGACATATATCATATATATATATATACACATACCAGTAGTACCGCACAAGGCGGTGGCGGAAGTTTCAAAAATAGGAAACCTATAGGAGAGGTTGATTGTTGTGCATCATGGATGGCAGATCGACGCCACTGATGGTTAGAAGGTGGTTAAGATTTTTTTGAGTGGTTGCAGTGGTCACCTCAGCCACAACTGCAGGATGTAGTGTGGTCTAGCGAAGTGTTATGTAATTGTACTTGTAGTTGTAGCTGTACCTGTAGTTGTAGTGTAGTGTAGTTGTACCTGCACTTGTAGTGTAGTTGTAGTTGTAGCTGTAGTGCAGTATATTTGTAATTGTTGCTGTTGTAGTGTAGCTGAAGTTGTAGTTGTAGTGTCGTTTACTGGTAGTGGTAGTGGTAGTTGTAGTTGCAGCTGTAGTTGTGGCTGTGGTGTAGTTTACTGGTAGTGGTAGTGGTAGTTGTACTTGTAGCCTAGTGTGGTGTAGTGTAGTTGTAGCGTAGTTGTAGTTGTAGTCCAGTGCAGTGTAGTTGAAGTTGTACTTATAGTTGTAGTTGCAGTTGTAGTTGTAGCGTTGTGTAATGTTAATTGTAGTTGTAGTGGCAAATGCAGGTTTATTTGAAGCAAAGCTGAAGTTGTAGTTGTAGTTGTAGTGTAGTGGTAGTTGTTGTAATTGAAGCGTAGTTGAAGTTGTAGTTGTAGTTGTTCTTGTAGTGTCGTGTAGTCGTAGTTGTCTATCTATCTGTCTATCTACATGACTCTTATCTATCTGTCTATCTACCTGTCTAACTATCTGTTTATCTCTCTATCTGTTTGTCTGTCTGTCTATCTATCTAGCCATCTTTCTGTCTATCTATCGATCTATCTGTCTATCTTCCAGCTTGAAAACGAAGCTGTTCTGGGAGACTTCAAGTTTCGAAGTTGACAACATCAAAAACAAAGGGTCCATGTCTCTAAAGTGTTGCGTCTGCCACGAAGAAGCGAAGCCACAGGTCATACGAAGTGCTGCACCTGTCACACAAAAACATGGTAGCAAACCTGAAGATTTCATGCTCAAAAATGCAACCCGTCACAGGAAATCTCCACCTTGATCTCTTAACACATCTACCTCCAGTGTCTCTTGTACTGCGCCTGCCACACGAAATGCATCTTTCCAGATCCTCTTCCAATGTCCCACGCCTGCCATCGTTTTTGCAACTGCTACAAAACCTTCACGTTTTGCTCGCTTTTGACACGGTGCACAATCCCCCGCGCCTGCCACGCAAAACGACATCTGAACGTCCAAAAGTGCTCCGTACCCCTCACAGTTGGTGTCACAACGGCGTGCACTTTTTCGACATGTCAACTTCAGTGCGTTTTGTAGATTTTGACTTGGAAATGCGTTTCCCGCCACAACGGCCTGCACTTTTTCCACATCACAACTTCCAAAAGTGGTCCGAACATGGTGTGCTTGTAGATTTTGACTTGGAAATGCGCTGCGCATCACAACGGCGTGCACTTTGTTCGACGTCGCAACTTGCAAAAAGTGCTCCGAACATGGTGTGTTTTGATCCCTGTGTACATTTCCACTATGAAATGGCTTGACCCATGTTCCATTCCAGGGGCATTTTTGTAACAAACGGAGGCATTTTGTAAGGATTTTTTTCTGGTCAACCATGCCATTTTGTAAAAAGCGTGTTTTGGGCGAATCATTTTGTAAGAGCCAACATTCTTTACAAAATGACGTCGGGACCAATCATTTCATAACGCTATTTTGGGTTCATTTCAGACAGTGCAAAGGAGGGTATTGAAATCTTGCGGGGTTTCCCGGGGAAAGTTGGACATGTACGCGTAAGACATACTTCCAAGCCAACAATTTTTTCCGACACAAGCTTATAAGATGATTGGGTTTGGGGCCTGGAAATAAACTTGGGGCATGCATTTTGTAAGGTGCCGATGTTTGTTTTTTTGGGGTTCACCGGTGTTTGCTGGGGAATCACACCAAACCTCCTGCCCAACCCATTTTATAAACTCCAAACCCTGGATCTTTGTAAGGTTAACTCCTGGGTCCCTTACAAAATGGTTGCCCTGACGTCACCTGGTAAATGTGCAGGGAAATGTGTTTTGTATATTTTGACTTCGAAATGTGCTTCACGCCAACAAAGGCGTGCACTTTTTCGACATCACAACTTCCAAAAGTGGTCCGAGAATGGTGTGCTTGTAGATTTTTACTTGGAAATTTGCTTCGCATCACAACGGCGTGCACTTTTTCGACATCACAACTTCCAAAAGTGGTCCGAACATGGTGTGTTTTGTAGATTTTGCCTTGGAAATGTGCTTCGCATCACAACGGCGTGCACTTTTTCGACATCACAACTTCCAAAAGTGGTCCGAATATGGTGTGTTTTGTAGATTTTGACTTCGAAATGTGCTTCGTGCCACAAAGGCGTGCACTTTTTCGACATCGCAACTTCGAAAAGTGGTCCGAGAATGGTGTGTTTTGTAGATTTTGACTTCAAAATGTGCTTCGTGCCACAACGGCATGCACTTTTTCGACATCACAACTTCCAAAAGTGGTCCGAACATGGTGTGTTTTGTAGATTTTGACTTCGAAATGTGCTTCGCATCACAACGGCGTGCACTTTTTCGACATCACAACTTCCAAAAGTGGTCCGAACATGGTGTGTTTTGATGTGCTTTGCAGATTTTGACTTCGAAATGTGCTTCGTGCCACAACGGCGTGCACTTTTTCGACATCACAACTTCCAAAAGTGGTCCGAATATGGTGTGTTTTGTAGATTTTGACTTGGACATGTGCTTCGCATCGCAACGGTGTGCACTTTTTCCACAGCTAAACTTCCAAAAGTCCTGCGAACGTGACATGTTTTTAATTTTTTCACTTGCAAACTCGCTTCGCGCCACAACGGAGTGCAACTTTTAATCTCTCATCTGGCCAGCTGGCTCGGCACCCGCCGCTTTAGCGAGCCTACTTTTCGACCCTCCGGAGCCACAAATCATTGAAAAAACACACTGTTTCGCGACTTTCCTACCTTTTCGCGCACCTGGTTCTTCTTTCTTCTGAGACTTTCTCTTCGCTGATCTTCTCTCTTCTTCTCTTCTCCTCTCCTCTCCTCTCCTCTCCTCTTCTCTTCTCTTCTCTTCTCTGACCTTCTCTGACCTTCTCTGACTCTTCCCAGCTCTGCTTTTCATCTGTCCACATTGTCGGAAGTTTGACTTCTAAACTTCCTTCGGCCATATGTGTATATATATATATTTATTTATTTTATCTATCTATCTATCTATCTTTCTATCTATCTATCTATCTATCTATCAAATCTATCTAATCTATCTAATCTATCTATCTATCTATCTAATCTAATCTAATCTAGTCTAGTCTAATCTAATCTAATCTAATCTAATCTATCTATCTATCTATCTATTTTTTATTTATATATATATACACCCCCCAGTAGATTAACATAGACCCTGGCAGAGAGGGGCTGGAAGATTGGTTTTCACTAAAAATTGGTTATTTCAGGGTCTATGTTAATTTACCAGAGGGTAGAATTATCATATATGTATTATATATGTATAATACAGTATATATATATATTTATTTATTTCCTTATATATATACATAAATATAGATATTGATTTATTTGTTTATTTATTTATTAGTTTTTTTTTTACATATGATTTAATATATGCATAATTATACAAAGTGATATGTTTCACACGTATATACATACTGACCTCCGCAACTACATACGTACGTACGTACGTACATGTGGCAGGTCTTCGCAGGTGGTTTCAGCTATGGGGGCACCATCGTTCAAGACTTGGCCTGCTCTTTGGCGGGTTATATGGAGCACTTACGGTGAAAATGATGAATTTTTGATCCTTGAAATTGAATAGAAACTAGAGACACTATAAACACTGAATATTGTTTGATAAATCCTAGGTTTCGGTTTGGGGTTTGAACATGGACCCGGTCTTGCAGATACAGCGGAGACGTGATGAAAGGTGCGTGCAATTTTAGATTGACACCATCCAAGTTGTCGTAGCTTGCGGACTTGTGTTTGTGGGACTGAAACCTGCAGGCCAAAGGCCAACCAATATTAAACCAACTATCAGTCAGGACATTCCGACATTGGGCAGCTGCCCATCGGTTCTGTCAAATATGTTTGCCAAATTAAAACAACGCATTTCGAAAATAATTTCACCGAGGGTATTGTAGATTTTGAAAACTCCTTATCTAAGAAATATTTTCAGTTTCAAACAAATTCACATAGCAGACACAGGCGAAGAGAGGTAGTTGTTTGTGAAACAACATAAACATACATAAACAATATATTCACCGTGGACTCCTGTAGCGGATTGGACAAGGGTCAAACTCGGGTCACCAACCAAATTTGTAAAGACAGATCCAGCGCAGTCGTTGTGGTTCCCAGCGATTTTGTTCCATTGAAACCTGGAAAGTGGAAAATTCAATCAGCGGTGTAGCAGGAAATTCAACAAGGAGATGATGAATGATTTTCCATGGATTTTCCATGGATTTCCCATGGATTTTCCATGGATTTTCCATGGATTTTCCATGGATTTGTGGACTTTCCATGATTCATAATGTATATCCATGATGTAAGACTTCTATACTGTAGGTTGATTGGGTTGGTGAATCGACATCGACCCAAAAAAACATCGACCAAGGCGTGAGAAGCTGGCAGTTCCGGGGCCTTGCGCCCGATGTCGCACCGGGCGATTACACAGACCGGGGCCTCCTGCATCTGGGGGACTGCAAGAATGCCACGCCAGTGACTTATATTAGCCCCTGGGCGGAAAAGGGATGGATGCTGGATATGAATGGATATTAGATGATAGCCCTTGAAGGGATTGATGGGTCAATACCTTCAGAAGTACGTGACCTTTTTCTTGGATAATGAGGGATAAACAAACATCCATTTACCCGTTTGTTTGCTGCTCATATGTTCACCAATGATAGTATTGGGGTTTTGACCCATAGACAAACGCCTGTAGCCTAAAACTGTGTATTTTTTGGTTCGGAAGTCAGTCAATTACTTTGGCGTTCCCATCACTTTGATGGTGCAAAGATTCCATGTTCTGCTGGTGGGTCGCTAGTTTTTTATATGTGTCCATACTGGGATGAGGATCCCACGTAACAGTGGCCCAACATTTTGAGGATCGGGATGTGTTGAAAGCGTGGACGGGCACCCACATTGCGCAAGTTTCGATCTGTAGATCTGTTGGCCCGGATGGCTAGGATGCAGTCTGATTTTTGGAGTGTTTGGATTTTGTCATACTGCTGGGCAAAAATGGACTCACAATTCAGTGTTTTTTCTTTGTACTTGGCCAAACAATTGTTTGGGGTCAATCAATTTGTACCAGACCCATACTGGCGCGCAGTACGAGGCTTTTGCGGAACTGGAGACATCTCACATTGCTATTTAAACAGCATTGCAAAAGCCGAAACCGTTGCCAAACAGACTCACTGCAGCCGCAGTGAACTTCGGCGCAAATCGGCCACTGTAAACTGCACAGTTTCTTGGCCAGTCCATGCTACTTAGATCCGATTGCCTACAAAGATGGGAATTTCCTCCGCTAATCAATCAAGGCAATTGAACGTCTCTATTTAAGATGTTTCTTTCCACTCAATCTACCATTTATATATATTTATACATGTTCTTCCGTTCTTCCTGATTTCCTGGTTGAAACCCTTGTTCTGGGCAATTGGAAGGTCAGTCGGTCAGTGCAAAGGATACGTTCACATGGGTCTTTGTCAGCTTGTAAGCTCTCCAAGTGAACTTTGCATTGTGATGACATGCGGGAATTGGAATAGTATATACCAGCCCTGTACTAGGAGCTGGATGAATCTAATCCTAATAGTTATGCATCATCGCACATCGCAAACAGCTTGCCACCACCCACTCCTACAAAGTTTTTTTGTTTTTTCACTTTCAAGTTTTAACCCAATTTGGCTTGTATCCTTACTGTTTCAAGTCCTGCTTTGGCTTTATCTCCCAGTCCTTGAGATTGAGGTTTGGAGCGGCTGCCACGCCGGACACATAGTGGAAAGCTGCATGGTGTATCGTATGGACCATGAGATACCAGGGCGTGTTGCGCCAGATGGCACCAGTTTTCTGCATCCAGGATCAGATTTGGATTACACCAAGTATCCTGGGCTGAGCTTGGACTGTGTTTTTGATTTCTCAATATTATGGTGACAATTTAGTGCACATTTACTTGGATAATTGGATATTTAAATATCCAATGGCACGTTTATGATGACATTTTTATTTCTATCAGCGATTTCGATGTGAGAAGGGTCTTGATCCACAAAAGATCTTCACCTCTGCCAGGTACGTCTTCGAAAAGTTCTCACTACAGGTGGCATCGGATCAACTTCGTTTCTATGGCCACCCAACACGGGCGGAGGAAGATTGGAAACAGGAAGTGTGGCCACCAAACAAGATGTATGACAGCATGTCACTTGACAACTCTGTCGCCAGTGGGGAAGATGGGGATCAACATGATGGGAAAAAATGTACATGCCTATTCTAAAAACCATGAAATTTGGTTGCTTCACTTGCGTACTCTAGTTCGAACCTTACAGAAACTGTTGTTTGTATCCAATAGCTTGGGTTGGTCTATATAATTGAAATCAGCTGTTATGTTTCGGCTTGGTGCCGTTGTGGACGCTTGATGTGTCTTTATTGGTCTTTTGGCTAGTGATGTCATGCTAATTAAATCTAATTGATATCTGTGGTCCTCACCAATGCCTTTCATACCAGACGCAAAAGCTGATTTGCTGCTTGAAAAAGAGGTATGCTGGATGCGTCAAGATGGGGTAATTGAGAAGTTAAATAGTCACGTACCACTAAACATGTCCAAACATGTTTCCATGGGGCAATGGGGCTTGAGTTTGGATGTTCCCACATCAATTGTGTTCTCCTTCCAGCTTCGCGAAACATCCTTAGGTATTTGCGGACAGCGTTGGCGACACAGGGGTTACAGACCCTGCCAAATCAGAGGGTGTCCATAACATCCACTATTGAGTATGAGGGCTAGTGGCTCAGCTTGGAAGTGCCATGCACCCAAAGCTGCTTGCAAGCCTTTTTTTTGCGGCGTCGATGTTCTCCAATGCTTGAGCTTTCGGAACCATTAGAAACGTGTTGGACACCATTTGGTCGCCAGACCATTGCCAATCAACTTGATGACAAATCTTGAGAATGCTATGGACAAAGCTTCGACCTGCGAGAAAAGAGGACCATTTTCCATGGGAATTGAAGGAATTGAGGGCGGGATCGTCGTCTTGTCCACTTTGGCTACCAGGACTTGTCGCACCAAGAATTTTGTGTTACCTTTGGAAGTGTCACCTTTGTAAAATCCCTAGGAATATCCATCATCATCCATCTATATACAGATGATGTGTTCATGTGTTTTCTATGAAACATGTTGATTTTCCAGCCGGTCATATGTAACTGGAAGAGGGTAAGTCATGGTACAAGTTCCAGCCATGTTTGGGCTAGTGGAAACTCTACAGGCAACCTCTATCTGTGCGCATCTGAAGAAGGGCCCCCCCTAAATGGATCCAAATGGCCATCTTTTGGCGGGGAAAATGATGCATTTTTTCATCAAATTTGAGGTACCCCAAAGACAAAGCGATCTTTGGGAGCAAAAAACATGTCGATTGTTCTGCTGGTTTGACCGAAACCATCCATCCATTGATCCACTTGCTTCAGGAGGAGATTCCTTTCGCTGAGCTTCAAGGGAGTCAAGCCCAGGTGTGGAACTGGAGATGCCAGAGCTGTAGAAGTTGGTGCAAGGTTTGCCACTGACTGAGTTTAAGTAAGATGGCATATGTATTTCAAAATTTATATACATACACAATGCATCACAATGCAACAGTATATTCTGCTGCATTGCTTTCGATATACCATATTGTTGCCTTGATTTGTTGCATTGCATTACCTTGCATTGCACTGCATTGCATTGCATTGCATGACCATACGATCCTCTGCATTACATGGCATTGCTCTACATACACTGCATTCACTTTTTATACGGTCACACATATATGAAAGTGCATGTTCCAATCCTGCTCATCACATATTCTTAAGGTATATCTTCATGAAAATCTGGGAACTATATTTTTAAAACATGATATCCAGTGGATAGAAACTCATGACTCAAGACTCAACAAAATGGTTTTGTGAAAATAGGGTACAGCATCCCTAAATCCATCTACTGTATATAAATCCCATGGTGGTTTATCGTGATTTTCCCTATCAAACTTTGCCCTAAATCTTCCCATTTTCAGGCACACCCCCAAATCAAAATGTTCTCATATCATATCCCCATGAAATCCATGTTTTTATCATTGTGATTCTTGGTTACGTTTATGAAACCCATCTCAGAATCCAGTGGTTTATCATCCTTTGACCATTTTTGGCGTATACCTATACCTGGTATACCTCATTTTCAGACACATCTTGATCATAGGAACATAGTATTCCCAATGATACCCCCATGAAATATCCATGAAATCCTATCATATCCCCATGTTTGTTGCTTCCATCCCCATAGAATCCCGAGACGTGAAATTCTCGGTTGACCCTGGATCCAGCGGCAGGCCTTCAGCAGCACAGCCACGGCCCGTTTCAATGCCATCACTGTGCCCCATGGATGCACCGGGTGATCTGTGGGGTCCCATGGATCTCAGATGTCTGATGGTCATCTGGTGCGTTTTACGTAGGGAATGGATGGGTTGCTGGGGGTTGCTGGGATGATGATTATTATTGATGATAATTAATGGATCATACCCAAAAATTCCCTGCTAAGCACCAGTAAATCCTTAGGACCACAAAATGGGGTGACTTGAAGACTCTTGAGCCTCAAGAGCCACGGGTTACACAAAAAGGTCGACATCTCTTTATCGAAGACAGCATGGTGATACTGTCCTAAGCGACGGAAACCATGTTTGTTTTTGGTAAAGTTTGCAGGATGTTGCAGGGACACCAGAAAAAGTGCCACTTATTCTAACAGGTGGCAAGCATTGCGGTATAGTTTATGCCGTTTTAACACTGATTTATATAGTCTTACTGGTATCATATATAAAGTTATTTATCCATGTTATTTGTGTATGTAAATGATCATAAATGATCATAATATGGGACTCTTCACTGCCCCAGAATTCAACCAATGGCCGACTCTATCTGGGTTGATGATTTGTGGTACTGAGGCGCCGGCACCTGGCAGTGTTTGGCTGCTCCAATCATGTCAAAGGCTGAGCCAATGCTGGAACCCTTCCAACGATAGGGGTTTGATGTGCCCCATTCATAAGTGGGGCTTCTGGTGGGTTTCTGGTGGTTCATCATCCCGAAATACAAGGCAACTGTTTAGGGGGTGTCCTTTGGGGTGTACCCTTAGATGCAAGGCTTCAAAGTTTGAGATGTGATTCTTGGACCTTCCCCCAGCTCACCCACTGTGATCAAGCAACGAGTGGACGAGAATTCACTATAAGGTTCCTTTCCTTGTGACTCTCTTTCCCAAACTGGCAGAATCGTTGCTTGTTCCAAGCAGATATCACAGATGTTCACGTCCTATTTCAGGTATTTAAGTGGAATTTGAGCATTTTGAGCTCGGCCAGTCAGAAACTATGGTCAGATGTGCGCCGACGAAAAAAATGGCGCTGTGATCATTCCTGATCACCGACACCAAGGCCTTGTTTTTGGTGGACTACACTCGACTTGAGTGTGGTGCCAAGAGTGAACTATCTGCCAAGATATGCCACTATCCAAGACAACTACTGTGTGAAACCCAATAATAAACCTACCATTTGGGGATGGTTTATTGTTGTTGGGTTTACCTCATTATATAATTAGATATTCGTACTGTTTCTCTGTGTTGTCTGTTTCGACTTGTCAGGTGTCATGAGACACTAGCAGCTAACAATTGCTACAGCTTTTGAGTGGACACTGCCTAGCCGCCTAGCGCACAGCTCAGGTTGTTGCGAGTCCTGCAAGTGTCCCATACCACTGAGGCGCTGACGGCGCTGATGGGTAGTCTGAATTTTGGAGTAACTTGTTGGAATCTCTTGGTGGGTTCACAATTCTTGACCAACGCATGTGTTCCCATTTCTTTGTCCGAGTGATGTCGAATCGCCAACAGTCTCTGACCAGAATGCAAGTTGAATTGCCAATTGAGTGAGAAAGCACTGGATTTCAATATTTAAACATTTTAAGTACATGTCTAAGTGCAAGTCAATTTGGATAATCTGGATAATCCATGAACAATAAAACACCTCCACTCAGCCCAGGCATGGGCATTGGACTTTCACCCCACCTTGGCCATTCTGGTGCTGGACTTTGGGGATGGTTCAATGATGGTCCAAGTGCCCTTTGTTTCCCTTTGTTTCTGAGAAACATGTAACACATATTACGACAATGGTTGAAGTTTAATCGTAATTTCTTTGTTTCAAAACCCCTAAAACTGTCCTAAGTCATGGGTCCAGTCATGGGGGGGTTTTCCCCAGTCAGTCATGGATGACCATGACGACTGGGGATCCCATGGTGACTGGGGATCCCCCCTTTTCCAGGCCACGGCATCGGCACGGGGAGGAGTTCGCTTTTGGAACGTGGCGGATCGCAAGGCAGCGGTTGGCAAGGCGCCTGCCACGAGACCAAAATTCAGGAGATGTAATGACCAGGTCAAGTTTGTCAAGTAATGGATTCATCTATATATATATAATTATGTATAATTATATACATATATACAGATATACATTTTATTGTATATAATTGTAGAATTATATAATATAAGTATTTATAATTATGCCATATCATGATATTGAACACTATATATATATTATTACCATCCACAATTTGATAATGATATAATGACCGGTCTACTGTTGGATTTACCATGTTGCTACAGTACAGGAAAAAGTGGCATCGTTCTAGGAAAACCAAATCTGAGCACATCCATGCCCTCACATCCAAGAGATACATGGAAATACATGTTTCATATTTGAACTGTATTCAGTTGGTTGGTGTCTACGAAGATATTTTGTTTCCATCCTCATCAAAGAAATAGTCCTCACCGATGGATGTCTTTTCTGGCTGTTTGGCATTTGTCAGGCTCGTCGGTGCGTCATGGCCCGTCCCAATCAGTGTTTTCTTGGAAAAAGATGACAGCTGACCAGGTTCCAGTATTTCTGCACTATCACTTTCACCAAACATTTTGGAGGAGCTTTAAATGTTTGTTGGGGGTGGTAATGAATCAATGTTTTGGCAAGACGGTGCGAAGCACCCACTTCTATCCCTGATCCATATAGGACACATTTGTTGAAACCTGAGAACCTCTCGAGGTGCTTCGTTCGGAGTTTCCTGCTTGGTCTTTGGCATTTCAACCCACTGCAGGGACACTCAGATCCTGGAGTTGCGATCTGATTTTGCCGAGATGTAGGAAAAAATGATGGAAACATGAGGCCTCAAGGAACTTGGGAGCGCCAAATCCGGTAATCCGCCAACACCATGGTCTACTTCAGGGATTTTTATTCCGGAACATGTAATTTTCAATGTCTGGCTGATTCTACAAATTATGTAACATTTGCCTAAATTTGCCAGAGTCAGCCACAGATGTTAATTAAATGGCCCTGGATAGTACATCCAAAAAAAAATGATACAACCCAGGATGGCTCCTTGTTGGCCGTGGGCATGGACAAAGGCCTACTGGAGGCGAGACAACGTGGGGTCATTTAGAAACCCAGGCTCTCTTCTGCAATATTCATAAATCATAAACACTGAAAAGTTATATCATAAATCCAATCCTACATATTCCTAGACATTATCCTACTAAAGTAGTGGCAAATAGTTTTTTTGAGGGGTGGTATTATAATATAACCCGCAGAAACCCTCGTTTGCATTGATATGTTCATTGTCATGTATTTGATTGGGTGCATCAAGATCTGCCATTCCAGGGGATGAGATTAATGTGGCCAACCGCAATAGTCAACTTAGGAAGCCCATATTTATGGATTTGGAGTATTCAATTCGGGATATCGGTACATATCCCATGTATGTATGGATATATGTACTATTATTATTATATATATATATTATAGTATGTATCACCGGGTCAATGTGGTAAAAGTGTTGATGCTTATACGGTTTTTCGCGTGCGGCAGTTTCGTCTTGCCACCTGCAGGTGATGCATTTTCCATCCTTGCAGCCCACATTTCGCGAGAGGCATGGAGTCTTAAAGTGTTGGTTCCTCAACTGGGGTTATCTCCAGTTACTCAGTGGGTCATAACCCAGTTGCTAACTAGTTACTATGTGGGATTATCCTTAACGGCTTACACAGCAGGGTGTCGACAATCAAACTTCCGCTTCAGGCTGTCACGAAGCGCAGAGCATGGAACCAAGTATACACTTGAAGCCTTTACTCAGCATTAAATTTGCCCCCCAAAGAGTGGCACAATTTGAGCATCGCCAGAGCCTGATTGCGTTTGCCAGCTTTTGCCATTCATTCAGGGCTGTTTGCAAGAAGGGTATCCTCTGCAACGAGGATATTTTTTGTGTTGAAAAGAAGGTTGCATCAACTTTGTGTGGTACCAGACTGCTACCCCATTTGTGGTTTGCCATGGTTTGCCCCCAAAAAATAGAATATGTGTGAATCCCTTATATATGTATATATGAATACATATATATTACAATGTGGGGCCCCCAAGTTAACTTGAAGTTAAAATACATATAAATCGAGTTAGAGAAGTTAACTTGAAGTTATGTTAACTTATCTTAGCACTATTTATAACTTAAGTTATATCTTTGCTAACTTTTTTGGATGGTTTTTTGGTCATGATTATGAGATTTTCGTCGTTTCACGGTTGTTTTGGAGAACCCTGTGTCCGCCGCGCTTTTTTGACGCTGCCAGGTGGTGATTTATCACGGAAGGCGCATGACCGTATCACTTTTAGTGTTGGTCCAGGCCGGCACATGGAAGTTCGCCAAGGACCGGTGGTCGACTATTTCCCTATCGTTGCTTCGCCGGAAGATTCTGTACGAATCCCCATGGCGAATCGGCGCCAGCTTTGTGATGTACACATACAAGCGGCTGCCTTTGTGCAAGAAAAAGTGAACACGCTTCTTGCAGGTTTTTGCCGAAGAGAAGGCAATCGTTTTCTTGAATCTCCACCATTTTGCCGTTTAGTCTCCCAGAATGGGATGGGTTCGCCTGTCGGCCAATTCTTCTATCCTGGCAACATTGTATCCTCTCAGCTCCCAATAAGCGAGAGGATGGTACTCACCACACTCACCTTCCCGGTCAACCCGGGATGACGAGTGAATCATGTTCTTCTTCAGCACGCCTCTGGCCTGCGAGAAGGACAGCCGCGCTCCGCTCGAGAATCTTGGTAAAAGGCCACCACATCATCTTCAGTGAGGCACGAGGAAAGCTCAATGCCATGACGAGCGAGCTGTCCTTTCACAGCGTGACAACTCTTGCACGTCCAACGCAGGTCTTCTCGAAACTTGGGGGTGCAGATGGCTTCATCCCTCTGCACAGACGAGGTATACAGCGTCGACAGATCACCTTGTCTTCGACCGTAGGCACGTCCGTCGCCATAGCGCCCTCAGGCGGAGGCGCCTCAGCGGCTGCCTCTGCGCAATCCGGCTGCGATGCAGGCACTTCCACGGCATCCTGCGTCGGATCCGGAATCTCTACCGTTGGCACCTCTGTCATTGTAAGCCAACAGAACAGCAATGGACAATTGCGACGCTCCCTTGCGATTCCTGAAAAAAGCTGCGGTAAAGTGGTCATGTAGGAAACACAAAGAAACTCATTTTTGACTCATTCGCGTTTCCACGACACTCCTTTTATAGGTCGGAAACACATACGCGTGCCCCGGTCAAACATATGGTTTCAGTTGAAAACACATTTGCGTTTCCCTTCTATGCTGGAAACACATCCCCGAACTTAGACTCAGAGTTATCTCAAGGAAACACATTTTTGACACATACGCGTTTCCAGCCTTCTTTTTTATTACTAATAGGAAACACAAGCGCGCTCCCAAGCTTGCTGGCAAGTAAAGTGGGAAACACTATCGCGTTTCCGATGTTTTTTAGAATTTTTCCTGGAAACACACCTGCGTTTCCCAGAAAGTCCCTTTTTTCCGTCGCGGGTTCAGTTTCTATGGTCTGTACAGAAAGGTCCATGCAAGTTTCTACTGGAAAGACTTGCCAGCCGTTTCCATGGCTGTCTTGAGCAGCGCTACCATCAGTTCCTTGTGGTGCCCTGCGGCATCTGCAGCCGCAGCTGCCTTTCCAGGAGCTTTGCCTTCCGCCTTCTGCGGTGGCACAGCTTTCTGAGCAGCGGCTCTCACCAGCGCTGATGCAGGCTTGTCGCCAGCAGATCCCGTGCCCTCAGGCGCGGCCGCAGCTTTCACTTCCGCGTCTCCAAAAATTTGCAGATTCGGCAATAGCGCATCAGGCTGCCTGACTGCCGTCTGCCCACCCATGGCAACGGCAAAAATTGCAACCGTCTGTGCCATTTGCAAACCTGCCAGGCGAGGATCCGGAAAGCCCTGCAGGGCCAGCGTGTTCTGCTGATTCCCCAACTGCCTCTGCAACTGCACCTCGCGATGTGTGTTCCGCAAAGGAATGGTGCGGGCAGTTTGCCAGACCACATTCAAATCCACAGACATGGGAGGAGCAGCGAATCCGCCAGGGGCCATCGCCTCTGCCACATCGCTCGGCAACTCTGCCACCTGGTTGGGCAACAACTCCAAATAGCGACTTGCTGGCAATGGAATGCCAGAGTGTCCAGCCCGTGTCACTGTTGTCTTCAAGACACTCTTGACCGTTTGTAGCAACGTCAGCAGCTGTGGAATTGTCAAATTGTCCTGCTGTCCCACCAGCGAGGCAATGACAGCCATCGATGGTTCCGTCGGATGACGCATTCCAAGGTTGTTCACTAAGTGCCGAACCAAGCGATCAACCCGACTCACTTGAGACATCTTCCGATCAGCAAGAGCATCCCAAATTTCTTGTGACAGATATAAGGGAAAACTCCTATAGTCCTGCATGCTCGCCCTGCGCAATTGCTGGCTTTCAACCTGCGCCATGGCCACCTCCTACAAGAAGCCGGTTTGAGCCATGAAAACCAACGGATATTCTGTTTTTCAAAGTAGATGCATCCATTTTGCAACAACAAAAAGCTAACTTGTCTAACTTGTCTAACTCGTTTTTGCTTCAACCTGCTATCTCAAGTTATATCTTGGCCAACTTTATACATAAGTTAACATAGTTATAACTTATGTTGCCCCCACTTATAACTTGAGTTACCCAATGTTATAACTTAACTTATAACTAGGGGCCCCACATTGTAGTAATATAATGTTATATATATATATATATTCAACAGTATGAACATGAGATTTTCTTGGATATTCCCTTATTAAAATGTATTAAACTGCCTTTTTGTTGGACCTTGGCGGAGATTTTCCAGTTCTGAGGCGCGTGAGTTCTCTGCGCTTCAGCCCCTGCGGCCGCTATTTGGCGGCTGGCTCCTGGGATCAAGAGGCCACTGGGATCCGGTGATTTCTTGGCGGCAGCCCATGGGAGAACATGGGATAACCATGGTATCTATATGGTATATTTATATGGCATATATATATATATTATATATATATATATACGTATATATAAATATAAGGTTGATAATGGTTAATAATGGTTAAGAATGGTTAAGAACGGTGAAGAATGGTTAACAATGGTGAAGAATGGTTAAGAATGGTGAAGAATGGTTAAGAATGTTTCCATAAATGGGGGATCTCCAATAGCTGGATGCTGTATCATGGAAAATCCGACAATCAAATGGGTGATGAAATGAGGTACCCCCATGACTTGTAAAACCTTCAACTGGCTATGAACCTATGGGATAACCATGGGTAAATGTACATAGTTATCGGTGTTGACAATGGTTCATAGTTAAGTGCTCATAATGGCTATAAGGATGGGATTGATGGGATTCATGCGGGTTAAAATAGTAGTATACCATGATTGATAGTCGTTGAGAATGGTTAATAATAAATACTGGGTATACCCTCCGGTAATCAAACGCAGCTAGCTGGGAAATCCCCGATACATGCAGGGTTTGGTGAGACAACCAACTAGAAATGAGAGATTTTCCATTGCCGGAATCATCCAAGTACAGCTGATGTTTTGAAATGTGTTGGTTGTTTAGGTCCAGGGTTCACATTTAGCTCACAGCAATTATGCCATTTCCACTTGTGACAAGAATCGGCTCTCGACGCCTTCGCTTGGGCGTTGGCCAATTGGTTGCCCCGATTGTAGAAACAGCTCCCAGAAGCCCAGCATTGGATTTTTGGGGTCCCATGGTTGGAGGTTACAGTATTATTGAGGAAATATATATGATGATTTAATATTATTCAATGTTGCTCAAGCTGAGCTTGGTCCAATCAAGATTCCCTGCCCCTGTGGCAGGTGTATCTCTTGCACATCGATTCTGAATCACGGGTTTGAAACTCAGCTTTCGGCTGCTGAATCGTTCAGCTTTCAGGACAAGTCAACAGACTGAATGTGGCAACTCAACCATCAACCACAAGCGGGAAAAGTGCGTATGGTGCCCTCTTGCGCTTTGCTATGGTGATGGATAAGCCCCATTAAAGCAGATGATGTTTCTCATATTTATCCGAATCAGTCTCCTCTTTAACATTCCAATGAATGGGTTCAAACATATAGTGTCCAAATTTGTGTTTCCTCTTAAACATGGTAAGATTGGTAAGGCAGATACAATGTATGTCATATATGTTTCATGTTGTTTCCATATTTTTCCATACATCGTGCTTTGTTTTCCATCTTGTTCGTCTTAAACATGGCCTTTTTTTCTCCAGGCTGCCGTCACTGCCGTGTTTCTCAGGTCACCCTGCACCGCATCCTCTCGGGGAACAGCTCCAGTATCGTCTCGGTGATGTTCTCGGAGGACTCGCCGGGAGGCTCAGGCGACTTGGGAAATCTAATGTAGGGACGACTTGGAAGGGTGTCTGGTTGGTGGTTTCAAACATGACTTTTATTTTCCATATATGGGATGTCATCCTTCCCATTGACGAACTCATATTTTTCAGAGGGGTTGAAACCACCAACCAGGTGTGCGTTGAAAGATCCAAAGTGTGAATTCCCCAACAAACACTGTGTTTTCTTTGCCTAAATTCAGAGTCTCACGCCAAAAGAGCATCTCAATTCTCTTGATTTTACTCCGAAAGTCGCCGAGTGGCTGAGGCGATATGTCATGTCCAACTCCAAGGATTGCCAAATTCTGCACTGGACCACCAAGGACTGAGTTTGTAAAGCTTTGGAAAGCTTTTAAAGGTTTCTGTCGCTTCAACATGCTTCAAATCAAGTGTTTGTAGCATGTTGCCATGTTGGAATGTCAGATGTATCAATGTATCACTCTTTGAGTCTCTTCAGGATGTTTCCCTCCGTGCATAGTGAGGTGGCCGTTGGATGTTTTCGGCCAGTGGTATCAATGCATGTGCCCTGATCGAGTCGCAACGTATGAGGACGGTACACTACAACGCTCCCAAAGTGTCTTCAGAGACACCAGGTGCGGCGATTGATTAGCCCCGTAGCTAATTTACCAGCATTTCCCAACATCCTACAGTCAAATTGCATTAAATTTCTGGATGATGCTGCATCCTCAATTTGAATCTCGTCCAGGTTGATATTGTTCCAGCCTGGCTGTCCACTTCAGGGTTTTATGTTGTTTTTCCAACTGACCTATATATATATTTATATAATTAAAATTATATATATAATTATATATATAATTATATATATACTTATATATATATAATTATATATATACTGTATATATATATGATGATATAGTTATATAGTTGGATGATTTCAAACGTTTGCTGATCTCACTTGATACATGAAAGTAGAGCTATGCTGGTATGCCGTTTATAATCATGTTCACTAGATCTTAGTATCCTACCCTATCTTGGGACCCCTATTTCTTGGGGCTTGAAGTCGATTGATTCAAGGTGGCAAGCACCTTGGACGTCCGTCGGAGCCTCAGTTTTCTCAGTGTTTGGGCTGTTGGGACCTGATCAACTCTCAGGAGTTTCGGTGGGGTCAGTGGGGTCCACAAATTTGGACTCCACTTTTAGGTGACTTTCCAAATCAAAAAAGGTGAAAAACATGAGATTCACAGATGTCTCCTGACTGCAACGTTTTTTTTCTTGGGGAGCTAGAAGTCAAAAAGCAGTTCCGGTGGACTTTGGAAGTATATCATTAAAATAATGTCCATCATATCAAATCATGATCATGCAATCCTTTGATCTCTCTGTTTGATGGTTATGATGAACTTTTCCAATCCTATTTCCAATGTGCGAGGGGGTCCAACATCAGAATTGTGTCTCCCATCTCGCTAGTTCTAGTGACGTGGTCAGCGTATTTTTGTTATTGGCTAAATCACGAATTATATAATTGTTGACTGTATTACCAAATTGTGTAAATCCTGAAATTACCAATTTTGTTGTTGACTACTGTAAATCCTGGAATCCCTACTTTCAGTTGTTACATCTTATCGCGTTCATCGTTTTTTTTTTGGCTATAGCTGTGATACTTCAATCACCATTTTTACGGTCAAGGGAAGATCTATGGCAAGTTTGAAATTCCCTTCAAAACTTCAAACCATCATTTGCATACCACATGATCTGTTTATTTTCCGGATCTCCCATTGATTACCAGAAAATATCAGAAAATAACCATTTCTGGTAAAATACAATTACCCTCTGGTAAACTAACATAACTATGGAAAATGACCATTTTTGATAGGTAAACCACCTATAAATGGGTTATTTTCCATGGCTATGTTAAATAACCAAAGGGTATTCCCATTGACCAGAAATGGGAATCTCCTGGATTCAGCGCAGGTTTTGGGATGGCCAGTGGTCGGCATTTGGAGCGACCCCAAATACGATGCGACCGGGCCTGAGCTGGATACGAGCGTGGGAGAACAAACTGGGATGGTAGAGATTCACTTTCTTTAAAGTGTATAATTCCGAATTAATTGGGATGGTAGATCTTAGAAAACGGTGATAAAGGTAATAATTCTGGGTTTACCCAAAGTACCTACTTGCAATTATGTTCTTTACGATGACTTAAACTGTTTTGCTTTACATTGTTCTGCTATGAGCATGACATCAATAGATAATATGGTGCGTATTGGAAATGACTTACAATTCTGAGCGCTGGCATGAATACTACGAGGACAGAGCACAGTGCAAACAGGAGAAGTTAGGACAATTAGTGCAGCAACGACATACAATTGACACCTTGCATGGGTGTGAATGTTCAAAAGTGTTGGAATATGATTACATAGCTTTAGCCATCCATAAATGGATGAGATTGATGGTCAATATGATTTGACTGATCAGATGTCCTTTCAATTAGAATATAACATGCTTGATTTTTAGTTTTTATATTCCAATTGTGGATTGTCCATAGCCTCTGTCAGGAGCGACATCAACTCTGCTTGCCAAGCCTATGTGCTTGCCTTAGAACTTACACATGGCGAAGCTGTCACTTTGCTTACTGGAGAGAAAAACACATGCTACAGTATATACTATGCAGCTTGTGCACATTTGCTATTATGATCTATTATGCATATATATATACATGTCTTTGCACCCATGTGTTATACATTGTTCCATATGTGTATACATTATATGTGTGATACATATACCCTCTGCTTATTTAACATAGCCATGGAAAATGGTCCATTTATAGATGGTTTACCTATTAAAAATTGTTATTTTCCATGGCTATGTTAAATCCACAGATGGTAAATATTGGATTTTCCCATTAAACATGGTGATTTTCCATAGCTATGTTAGTTTACCAGAGGGTATATACATAATGTGTATACAATCTGTGTGTATGATGACCTACAGACCCGATTTCAGGCGCCACACCATGACCTCTTAGCCTTCGGTGCAGCTCTCATCCGATGGGAGATTTTCTGGGAGAGGAAATACGGGAGGTCAATCAACATTGGATATATATATATATTATGGAGAAACTGAGAAACACATGAAAAGTGCATCTCAAAGAATTCTCCAATTGCGTGAGGTGATGACTATGGCTGTGTGAAGCTTCTGCGTTATCCGAGCCCCTTCCTGAACCCTCGCATCGAGGTCGGCACATGGGTCCAGGAGATTTTCTGTATATGCATATAATCATATATGTACAGATAGTACATTAAAAATGATGAACAGTCCAGTGGATGTTATATATAAATATATAATGTGTTTGCATCATGGCTTTATTATTGTAGCTGCCACAGCCTGAAAGGACCTTGACAGGACATGACAGGACTCTTTATTCCAAGTCATTTGATTTAGGTGACAGCTAAAGATAGCTGGAGTCAAAGTTGTTTGTTTAGGCTAGTGCTGAAACGATTTTTGCTTCATTCTTTTTTGTGAAAGTGTGATAAATTGTCCTGCTATTGTTTGAGGACATTTGAGGTATACAAGCCTCTTCCACCTCGAGCCAGTCTCAAAATCTAACAGGAAATGGCGGTTCAACCCACTCTGCCCACCAACTCAAGGCTTGGTATGAGCGACAAGTCTGAACAATTCCCGTCCTGGTCTCGTTTTGCTCAAACTCGGTCCAGCTGTCCCGGGGCCCGTTAGAATGCCCTGTGTATGTCATCACTTTTTCTTTTGGAGAAATTAAATATGCTGTCGTCGCCCTCCGATGATGTCCCAGCCTCCAAATTTCCTTGCTTGCCCGGGTGGCTTAGAGGCTCTGAACTTCTACGCTACTGGAAACAGGTACTTGCTGCGTGGCTTGTGTTCTTTGTCACTGCGGGCATGACCTATCAGGCCCCTCCTATCATGCTGGATGCCATCAGAAGGGACTTCGAAGTTGATCACTATCGTATCGCTTATCTGGGGGCGATATTCCAATTGTGCAAGGGCATTTTTACCATGCCGGGGGGCTTTGCATTGCACCACTACGGCTGTCGAAGCTGCTTCCGAGCCGGCGCCCTGATCATTTTGCAGCTTGGACTGAAGGATACTGAAGGATACTGAAGGATACTGAAAGACCTGGTGAAGGCCAGCCATTGATTTGAACGGTGAAGTATACTTTAAAGATTCTCAACTGATATTATGATGACAATTGTGCAATTGTTGAATGGATATCAATCCCATTTTGGAACAAACCCATGCAAGTTTCAGATTCGGTTGTTTCAGCGGAGTTTGGAAACTGCCTGATATGGTTGGTTTGAAAAGACATGTTGGTTTCGATCAATTTTGATCAATTTTGGGGAATACTCAATGAGAGAGTGAACAAATTTGAACAAAATTGTAAAAGCTATTGGAACAAATTGGTGCAAATTTAAGCGTCATGACCAAAATATACCAAAGTGCTCGTGTCACCTGGCTGTGAGTCAGACCCTCCAAAAAAGTACAGCAACGACTTGCCTCTCATATCATATCCCAGTATATCTTGATGATATCCCCCTATATCCCCATCAAATGGTTCTTTATTGGCTGAATCCCCGACCTTTCTGGGTTTACATTGCACTTTGGTGCAATCCACTTGTTTATTGTTTCAACCCCCCCTTTGAACTTGCTGAATCCTAATCGTTTGGGGCTAAATCATGTGTCATGTTACAGTTAATCCATTTAAATCAGTTTAAATCACCCTTTGATGGTTTCACCTATTCTATATATATATATATTATTATTATTATTATTATTTATTATTATTATTATTTATTATTATTATTTTTTTTTTTAATATATTTATCTTTTCCCTCTTATGTGGGACGATAATCCCCAATAACTTTCCTATTTATCAGAGGGAAAGCACCACAAAGTCACAGGATCTCATCGGCCCTCTATCCCTTGGCTCCAAGCCTCTGGTGGCTGGCCATTCTGCATGGCATCTATGGTGCAGCCTATGATCTCATTGGTGTAGGGCCTATCATCGTTTTTGCCACGATACTTGGCGTGCCAATATCTTGCTGTCCTCATATTGCTGCATGAGGTTGCTTTGCTTTACCATCTATGTCTATGTCAGATCCCCTTCTTTTGAGAGCCCTATTGGATTTTGGAATGCTCATCATGGCTTGTTTCAGCATCCGTTAACGGCCCATCACTTGGTGTTTCGTGGCCTTTACCAGGCCACCCAGCTGACGTCAGGACCTGGTTTGAGGCTGAGACCGCCTTGGCGATTAGCATTCTGGTCACAGCCTTCAGTTTTTCCGGGATTTGTTTTCCGCCCAGGGTGGCCTATTTCATCGCACAGCACGGCTGGAGGTGTGGACGCCTAATAAAGTGAGTGTCGGGTCGACTGTTTCGAGTGGACTAAATGATGAATGTAATGGTATGAGATGGACAGTCGGGTAAAGTTGTGAAATTATGAACTCGTTCTGGTGGATGAATGTGATGAATTTGGTGCGTCAACTAGTTCGCACAAATGCCTGCGGTGGGTGATATTTTTGTTACAGTGAGGACTGTTGACTTTTTGTGGCAATGTAACTAAGTAAATCTAAGTGACTAAGTTGCTAAATGAAAAAACATGTTCAACACCCACCTTCTATGTACCAAATAGACACCCTTGACAATTTGAGAACACACCCATATTTACAAAGTACTTAGGCCATAGTTATTTTGGCTGTATATCTCACGGAGGTGGTTAATCAACTCCGTGGTTGGAGTTCAGGGTTGGAGCTACGAGTCTCCCAACTACATGATTGTTGTTGAAAAATGTTGAGAAACATATTTTGACCCAAACCTGTTTGGCTATTTGGACTTGCCAACCAGCTCTCATTTGATGTCATTTGATTGGATGATTTGTTGTGTGGAAACCGAGACTTTGTTTGCTTGTTTCCAAGAGGTTTTAGTATCAACGCTTCGTTTAGGAAGGTGACTCTCTATCGACTACTCCATGCATACTCCATACAGTCTCCATACCCCAAATCCACTGATTAATCATCACATTTCCCTTAAAATGGCCGATATGCCCCATTTTTCAGTCATCCCTATATGTCAGCCGGTCAAAAGCCCACAACCAGATGGTTCGGGGGCTTAGAGATAGCAGCAGGAGGGCATCGTTGATGTGCCCCATCCTCATTGCTCTTGTGGTGATGCCTCTCTGTAGCCTGGCATGGCATCGCAGGTGGAACCAGCTGCGACATGCCACGTGATGTGTTTTTCCCCAGAAAATCTGCAAGACTCATTCTGGTTGGTGGTTTGGAAATGTTTGGAACATTTGGATTATTTTTCCATATAGTGGGAAGAATCATCCCAACTGACTTTCATATTTTTCAGAGGGGTAGGTCAACCACCAACCAGCTGGGACACTCCCGGACCTCATTGTTTGACGTAGCAAGATGGTGGCAAGTAGGTACCACTGCTTCCCCATGGTGTTTTTTTCCCCACTGGATCCGTTATGTTGTAACATGTTGTAACCATACATAGCCATAGATTTTAGACGTTTGTTGACCAGTTCCTGGTTGATTCGATGTCGTTGTGTTGGTCATGTCTACAGTTTTTGTGCCATTTCTTGAGTTCCGGAAGAATACACATGAAATGAAACCACAATTCAAAAGAAACACATGTTTGAATATCCACTATGCAAGCTAGACCTGTCTCAAAATGCCTGAAAATGCTTCGTTTTTTTTAAACATATTTGTTCTTATTTATTGGGGACACATGTGGAATGTGTAGGTATGTGTAGCCCATGCTCATCCATGGTTTTTAATGAGAGAAAACTCTGAGGTTTTTGCATCCTCCAAGACGGTCCCTTGCGGCAGCGCGCCCAGCGCGCAGCTGCTCAACGTGTGCCCGACAGCGAAGAGGGCCAAGAACAGCAGCGTGCTGGCTGCATTGGTCAAGCCATCTGGTTGGTTGATTTTTCTGGGCTAGTAAAATGACTTGAAATCCCGGAGTTCAGAAATATCATGACATATCCATGAATATCATGCTTTTAGTGGGATTCAAGATGATGAACGACAATAGATAGGCTCTTTTGATGATCCTGTTGCCATTTTGATGGAGTAATATATGTTAATGACGTTAATGGTTCGTTCAGAGGTACACCGACTGGTTGGGTTCATGATGTTCATGTTCTTGTTGGAACAGGGAGTTTGCAGGGTACACGTTTTATTTGGAAAGCCAAGTGGATGATATGTTTAGAGTTTGACGTACGGTAATCAAATCTGGCAACGGGAAATCCCCCATCAATGGAGGTTTTAACGGGAAACTCGGCTGCCCTCGCGAAAGTCAAAATGCAGGCCGCGAAAGAGACTTGAAATTGCTCATTTGCCACGTTTTGTAAATGGAGGAGTTTCCATTGCCACGTTTGATCACCAGTAGTTTTTCTTGGTAAGGTGATGCCATCAGAATTCTGATCGCCACAAGCCACGGTCCATGTGGATGATGGATATTGGAATCATTCCCACTCTGGGCTCGAAATTGGTTTGGGAATGGGATTTCTTGCGAAACGATTGGTGGATCTAGCCACTTCACATTTGTTCGATCGAACAGAAAACATGATAAACATGTGGCTACAACTAGCAGTGTGACGCTATGTGATGCCATTGGCAAACATGGGGACTGAACATGACATAACATGACGGAACTGGCTGAAATCCTGACTCACGATCCCTGAAGATGTCACCGTGCCATTTTTTCTCATAATCGGGAGGCAATGGGCGGACATGCCCATGTTGTCTGTGTGATATGTTTGCTAGTCTACCTGCGGTACTGAATCGATAATATATATATATATATATTATAAGTATACATAGTGAATGTATTGAATATATACTGTGTATGTATATATATATATATGGTGCAGCGTGGCCACCCCCCCTCCCCCCCACCCACACCAATGGGTATGGGTGGACAGTATCGTTCTGGTTCTCTGGTCCCCCCCCTGTGGCTGTGGTGGTGGTATGTTCTTCTGCGTCCCCCCCTGTGGCCTGTGGTGGTGGTATGGTTCCTCTGGTCCCCCCCCCTGTGGCCTGTGGTGGTGGTATGTTGGTATGTTGGTATGTTGGTATGTTGGTATGTTGGTATGTTGGTATGTTGGTATGTTGGTATGTTGGTATGTTGGTATGTATGTATGTTGGTATGTATGTATGTATGTATGTATGTATGTATGTATGTATGTATGTATGTATGTATGTATGTATGTATGTATGTATGTATGTATGTATGTATGTATGTATGTATGTATGTATGTATGTATGTATGTATGTATGTATGTATGTATGTGATTATGTATGTAATTATGTATGTAATTATGTACGTATGTATGTATGTATGTATGTATGTATGTATGTATGTATGTATGTATGTATGTATGTATGTATGTATGTATGTATGTATGTATGTATGTATGTATGTATGTATGTATGTATGTATGTATGTACGCATGTACGCATGTATGTGTGTATGTATATTACACCACAGGGGCATTCAAACCCCCCCCACATCCATGGGGGGGGGGCGGGGGGGGGGTGGGAACACGGGACACGGGACCATATATATATATTGTGTGTGCAGTTGATTGAAGGTTCTGGGTTCTTAAACATCTCAAAGCCATGAACTTGCTCACTCACTGGACTTGGGGTGCGGGTCAAACTCGAAGACTTGAGAATTGATAGATCTTGGCAATTGGTACATCTTAGTTATTCTTACGTCCTTCATTATCCTTATTTAGGTTTGATTTTCCATCTTGGTTTGTGAAAACAACTATTCCTCTGTTTATTATCCCCTAGGCCCAAGTGCTCAGGCAGGTGCGTTACTTGTAGATCAGCAAACCCAGCAAACCACCGAGCGCCAAGGATGGTTCACCTGAATTTTTGGCGGAGCTTGCGGCTTCCAGCGGTGTGGCATCTGGCCTTCCTCTCGTTTCTCAGCTGTGCGTGGTGATCACGGGCGCCCAGAAACGGGACGAACACAGCTGAAAATGGTGTTCATGTGGGAACCCCAGGCAATCAACCTAGCATTTGGTGATCGTACCATTTGTGGTGATTTTTGGGAGGGTTTATTGGGTATACCACATTACAACTATAGGATTATAGGTATCTATGGGTGATGTCAAATCTGGGGAAATTCCACAACCACCATCAACCACCTGGGATGATTGGCGCCCAGAAAATGGGGATTTTGAAGATCCACAAATCAGCTGGTTCTTGGATGCTGGCTTCAGACTGAGTCCACCAGGCTGTATCAGCTCTACATCATCATCGCGCTCATCAATACCTTGACTTTGTATTTAAAGGACAGGGCGTAGTGAGATATGTGAAATGGCCCAAAGAAACGGCACAGGTGTTTTTTTTATTGTTTGTCATAAATGGAATGCAAACATGTTGGTTTGAGATGATAGAGCAGAAATTCACCATGCACATCCATGCACGGATATAGCGACTTCACAACGATGCCATGATAAATGATGGTTGGTAAGGGGATTCATGCTGAAAATAACATTCCTGAATTGCACAAAAGGCCAGATTTGGCCGAAGGATGTCCACATGGATTTGGAATTGTCGGCGCTCTACACCTCCGTTGTTTTCCAAGTGTCAATCGCTGGCAAGCTGCTGATGGGTGCGGCAATGGATAGCAAGTTTCAGGCACCGTCTAAAATGGTTGGTTCATGGTGGTTGAGTTAATAATATTGTTTTTAAAAATTAGCTATAACTATCTATTTTGATGTAGGCATTGTAGTTTATCCACCAAAACAAATGTTCTGACCTGTTTCTTTCTGCGAACGGTACCTTCGGTGAGGCATCTCCCAGCTCTCAAATTCAAAATTATCCCAAACACCTAAATTATAATTAAATTATAATATCCTCGGCCTGCAGTGGATATATTCTTAAACAACTTACGCTTCACTGAGTTTTTCCTCCAAAAGTTCCCTCAAATCACCCCAGTTCCACCTCTTCAAAAAGAAAGTGCCACCAGGGCCTAGCAGGGCTCATCAGCTGCCTGATGCTTCTATTGGGAACTGTGTTGCCATTGGATTTCTCCAAGGGTGGGCGGCAACTGACGCAAAGTCATGGGCAGCTTTTGGCCTTTGCAATCATCTATGGCCTGGGGTTTGGAGGGTCATATTCCCTGTTGTCTGCGAAGCCAGTGACGAGTCATCCCGAATTTGGCATGTTTTTGTGAAGGATGGGTTTGAGGGTGATGTTTCCATGAGGGTGCGGATTCGGTACATCACATCAAAATCGTGATGAACATGCAAGTACCACCTTTCTTTGGTTTGGAGTCTGCGTACAGAATCAAATGAATTGAGCACATGCTACTTGGCCCTGCTTTTGAGTCTGCTGACTGTACCACTTATTGCAACGCTAGTTGTCACGCCGTGTTGATTTGGAGCATGTATCTTAGCCGCCGTTTTTGAAAGAGGCAGCTGGACAGGCATTCCGAGCAAAGAAGTTGGTCACGAACTAAGTCCATACAATCCACTTGATAGTCACCCTCTATCACTCTTCTTTGAGCTGTTGCAAGTATATTGCGAGTTTTCCCATGCCCCAATGCACGCCCGTGGTCACTAATCCCGCTGACTTATTTGATCCAACTTGCTGACTAATGAGACTAATGTTGAGATGACTTTGGATGTGTTTAGTATACTACACAATGCGTTTTGTATTGGATGTGTTTAGTATACTACACATCGCAACGGGGCATATCATCCCATTATGTCTCATAACTGATGGTCCAAGGCAAAGTTGCTGGGACGGATGGCGGATTTTGGAAAACTGCAGGGCTTCTTAATGCTCTTCCAAGTCATTGGCGGTTTCCTAGGGACCTTGGTTACAGGCAGACGATGGCAATGGGGAAATGCGGATTGTTTATTGGAAATCCTCTATTGATGGATTGGTGTGGTGGAAAATGATGTACACTGTATACTGTATACTTTTGAGAATGCTAGATGCCAGTGGGTACCAGTGGGTACCAGTAAAATGTCCCGAGATGGAGCCAGAGCCAATCAGAAATAGACTGTGAACTGAGCAGTTGAAATTTGTATATATTTGTGATTTGTGATGAAGTTTGTGAAGTATAGGCATGACATGTGTACGATGCTTTTTTTGCGCATTTCTAAATATTCGTTGTTAAATTAATCTATCTTAATCATCCCACTTGGTTGTCAACCCACTTGGTTGATGGTTATTAAAGCGGTGACACTACCCAACGTATTGGGGATTGTCACAGTCCATGAACTGGCAATCCCCAGTATCCAGTCCAACCATTGTTGTCAGGGATGCTCCAATTAGTAAGAGCTTCCCAACCCATACAGCCCATACAGTATATTACTGAAGCATATCTATCCCATATATCACCTATATGTCTATACATATGCACCCATTCTATATATGATTATATAATTACATATGTATTTTAATATATGATTATATATATATATATTTGAGCTATATAGAACCAATATATAACATTATACAACCTATATGACCGTCCTTGTGGCTGGAACGTACGCTTTGAACCCATTTGGACCCCAACTCGCCGCTTCTCACGCCGTACCGGAGGCAAGTTGCGTGAACTCTCGGGCAGCTACACCTGGTCCTTCTATGTCTTTATTGTCATGGCATTTTTGGCCTCCTGCCACTATGCCGCCCTAGAACTCGGCAAGAAGAAGACGCTGCAGGCGACAAAGTCGATGATGTTTAAGTCACGGGAGTCGTCTTGTAAAGGGGGTGTTCCAAAGGTAGGGTAGTTCAAAATGCTTGGAGCAATCAATATGAAGTATCGTTCGTCTTCCCGTTAACAGTGTCACAAGTGGGGGTAAAAAATAAAGTTAAGGTTTTAATATGTTTTAATGCAGACACGTGTAATTTACCATTTGTTTTTGGTGTTTCTGTTTTGTGAGTGGCCCCCATTTGCCAACAGTTCATCAAGCTTTGGATTAGGCATCTCAACCAGACCCTTACCGACGGAATCCGATTGGTAGGAGATTCAAATTGTGGAACTGTCACCGTGCCTATGTATGATTCAATTTCAACTATATAATTAAATATATACAACACACAGGCAAGCATTATACCATTGAGAATTTAGAGCACTCAGCTTTGCTTCTTGTCACGTTTTATCAATTTTCCAGGGCTTTGAGCCAACTTTTGCCATGTTCGAAGCAGCCATGACTGTTCGTCAGGCGATTTCTGTGCCAGCCACTGATCGCGTGGAAACTTATCAATAGTGCCTGCCCAAAAAGAGTACCGCTGCCGCGCTAGATGTGTTTTGTTTTTATCGATCATGTAGATATGAGTCAATACCACACAATCCATCACAATCCCAAGTTGATGAACATCCCAACTTTAAAACCATTCTGCAGTTTTTTGTACTCTTCATGAGGGTTTCATGTTTTTTTTACATATTTGGACCCATTGACATATTACAGGAAGAGATAGGAAGATGTTTTTTGTTTCTTTGTTATGACCGAAAGAGAGAAGTGTGTATGAAAACCCAAACTGTAGCAGGCACGCAGAGATGAAGTGCTGCAGTCTTTACTTCTTTAGCTTCAAAATCTGAGATGACAAGCAACACTGCAACACCACTCGCAGTTTCTATTTGAACCTGAGGGGCGCAACCTGAATGCAGAACTGGAACATTTTGTCACTCCAAACATATCCGAAAACGGGATTCTACAACCAAACAGCAGAGTTACAACTTACAGACACGTGTGAGTAAACCCAGTCATGATTGCTAAACCCCATCAAACTGATCATAATCTGCCCATTTCTCACTGGTAAGATGCCCCCTGGTTACCCGTTCTGGAGCGTTCTGAAACGCATGCGTTACCTACGTCGCCAGGTGTTTACCGGTCATGCCTCCTTCGTGACGGCGGTGAGATTTTCCCCCAGCAATGTGCGATGGGATGGGAGCGGTTGTGATGGGAGAGCTGGATGGTTGTTATTATTTAGTATTTAGGCAGCAAAAATATACTGTATGATTGTATGATAGTGTATGGTTATGTATGTTTTTCGACTTTTGACTAACAAACATAAAGATTCAATGGGGTTGTGTTTTTTCTCTTTGGCATAGATTGCCGTCACATCACAGCAAGACCTTAGGAAAGCCCGAGGCTCAGCAGATGGCCCTGGAGTCTCTTGGGAATCCAGTTCACAAGTTCACACCCAAATAGCTAGTAGATGTCAGGTTGGTGGTTTGGAACATTTTTTCTTTTCTCCAATAGTTGGTATGATGATCCAATCTGACTTTCATATTTTTCAGGGGTGTTGAAACCACCAATTAGATGTGGATTTTCATTAACCCCAAACTTCAATGGTCGTGTAGGTTTTGACCCATCCCTATTTGCCCACTGAGACGTGTCCTGTGTTTGGCTTCAGCTGGAATTTGATACTGGTCTGAGAACCCACAGATATGAGAAAAGGATATGTTTCAACAGCTGAGACGGTCGAAAATTGCTTCCAGTTCTCCGCAAAAGTCAACTTGCTGTCAAAAAAGTGAGACTTTGAGGACCGTTCCCATTGATTGGCAAATTGGTTCGTCATCATCATCTCCAATGAAATTGGCCCAGCCACCACTGACTGCTGCGAGAACAGCCCATGTCACCGGGAGTCGGGGCCGGCTGCCGGACTGCTGCCTGTGAGAATTGGTGATGCTTCATGGAGGCCCAAGTTTTCCAGCTGCATTGAGGGGGGATGGTTGGCAAGTGATTTACCCTTTGGCAAGAGTTTGTATATATATATATATGATATTATTTATATTTATATAGTTATTTATTCATTTATTTATATATGTATTTATTTATTACATATATATATAGTATATATATATATATATGGATCTGGTATAGATGGCCAATTTTGTTCGATACATAAGATCGTGATTTTCGATAGCTATGTCAGCTATGTGAAATGACAGGTAACGGGTATGATGGATATAATAAATGATGGATAATGTTTGGTATCTAATGGATAATCATCCCCAGTAGCAGTTTTAGCAATCGCAATGTCATCTGTAAATGGACATGGATCAAGAAAATCACCCCCCAGACGGCCCAGACGGCGCTATTTGTGGGTCCAAAAAGGGACCCCAACGACTTGACCCTGGGGTTATCTCGAACTTGCAAAGCTTAGAAGTTCCATGGTTTGTAATTCGGGTATGACCCTCAATTTCACCTGGGGTTTGCTAGAAATGATTAGAAATTGGACAAACCCCAAAATATCCCAAAATTGCCATGAAAGAATGTGGGAAATTGATGAGAACATGAGGGATTTGCCAACAAATCCCCAAAATATGGCAATGCCAAGACGGAAAATAGGTTAAGGCAGGAAAACCTAGGAAAATAATGATTGACATTTTTTTTGGTGCCCTATTTTTGGACAAACCTACAAGGGTATGTCTCCAAATCACAAGCTCCTTGCACCATGGTGAAGCAATAGCTGGTATAAAGTATAAACGGATGGATAGTCGCATAGGTACTCAGCCATGCCCCTATCCCATACCCACACGTTCCTGGGATGTTTTTTTGAACTGGCCCATGTCTTCGGGGTGGCTAAACCACCAACCAAGCAAAGGCCGGACGGGTGTTTGCCAAACGTTCAGGTAGTAGATAGTGATACAGGCCAAGAGAATCCAACAAAAGGGGGGTACACTCTGTTGGAGAATTCCTTTGGGGGGGTTTGACGTGACCAAATATCGATCATTTGAGCATTTTTTGAGGGTCTCATCACAGGCAGGTGATTGAACAACTCCACACTGTATAGACCACATTCTGAAAATTATCAGTGCATTTCACTTCCAATGTACAGATGCAGCTTGCTACTTGCAGTTGTATAGCCATAAAATTGAGCATTTCATGAGCGGGTCCCCTCCATTGGCACTGCCCTTTCTCCAAGGTTTTCAAAGGACGCCACAGCATCACTGCATCATGTTCCTTGTCTGTGGCTGTCATGGCGCCTTGTGGGTCATGGCCACAAGGTTGGTCCAGCAAAGATGGAGATTCGCCCAAGAAAGTTGTTTTTTTTCATCCTACTGTGATGATGCCACCGAATTGGCAATATTTGTTTTGGAGGATTGAAACCACCAAGCAGATCAGCGGAACATTTGGGGGGCACCAAGAGTTTGGCTAGCAACGGACCCACAAACGACTTAGTGTCACAGTTTATATTCGTAGCTACATTGAATTGGATTACTTTAATTTAAATATCAAAGCAGAACAGAACTTGGAATGTTTATTGTATACTTTGACAAATTGGTATGTTCACTTGCGAGTATTTGCGAGTTTGAGTCAAGAGGAGTACGGAGACTCCATGGCGTTGAAAAACCTGAACAACCTGAACGATTCTTGATATGACAGACCCATAACCATCCCTTTCCCCATACAACGTATTCCCTCCGTTTTCGATCATTGCCTAAACCCGATTTGTTTGAGTTTCATACACAGTATATTCCCCCCCAACACGTGGCCAAACACTGCCCATGGTCTGTGAACATCCCATCTCATCTCATGGTCTGTGAACATCCCATCTCAAGGTCCAAATGGGGATGCACCATTCTGGCTGGAAGACACTATAGTCAATGTATATATGTATAAAGTAGTCGTCAGAACAGAAGCTTGCAACTATTCTCCATTGTACAACAGCTAAGCCCCTATGGATCCCCAATGGTTTATCATGTTCCCATATTTTCCCTGCCAAACAATGGGGATTGAACATGGAGTCTCCAAAATGTCAGCCCCAGACTTCCCCAGCCCAGGTTCACAGCAAAGCGACTCAGACACTGAATCTGAGGAGGAAATAAAGCCAACACGGAAGGTTTTCCAGGCGCGGCTGGGCCATTGGAACCACCCTCAACAAAAAGTTTGACCCATTGTTTGACCCCATTTTTCTCGGAGGAAAGTTGTTTTTGTTGGGCCCTGGAAATGGCAGGGTTTATATTTCAGTTGGAAGGAGAATCATCCCAGAATAGGAGTGTTTTTGTTATATTATAGTTACAATATTATATAATGTTGGATAAATAAATGTACAATTAAGCACATATATATATACACACATTTGTAACATATGTATATATAATTATACATACAATTGTGTAATTCAATCAGACATTTTGGAATCTATCAATGCTTTAAGGTGATTGAGCCGCAGAGTTTGGCTGCAGATTGTTCTCAGCACCAGACCAAGGCTTCTCAGGTTGGATTGCCAAGTTCGGTTCCAAGCAATTAACCTGAACATGTAAACAATGGTAAACAGCCTCAATGGAGAAACCACACTCAAGATGGGATGGTTCATAGCAACGAAAACCTCAAAACGGAATGGTGAATATTTTACTCATGCCCCCAAAAAGACCAAACTCTGTGTTTCCCGACAGGCAAAGGTGCAGAAGCTGCTGGCAGTGCGATGGTTCACGCAGAAGCGAGGAGTTCGTTATCGGCACTTGAGGACGGTGCCAGCGCCCTGGAGCACTGCTGGGATGAACATTTAAAGACATCACATATTGTCATGATTCGGATGATGATTGTTGGAATTTGTTAGATACATTATTTCTGCATATAGATATCACCATTATTACGTATTGTTATCTATATATATATAATATATTAATATATATATATATTATCTATATTATCTATGTTGGAGCATCCATGACCGATAACTGAGATGATGGGATCCGCTGGTTGCCATTCAAAAAGCAATCGATTGGATTTTGAGGTACCCCATTTTTGGGCAAAACCTTTTCAAGGGTAGATAGTAGTTCAAGGCTTTTGAATGTTTTTGCCAGGAAGGGTGGTATACATGTATGATCATGTATGATTATTATTATATATAATATATGTAGCTTTGGTGTTGCAGGGTTATTATCTAAGATTCGTCATAGTTTCAGGTGTTTCAAAAGAACCTGCAGGTTCTTCTCACGCAACAGGGGCGGGATATGAATAAAACTTCAACGCCCAGGATTTTTTTGGGTGGTAACATAGGCATGATTTCCTACAAAGTTTCCCGGGCATCAAAATTATCTCAAACCGTTTTCAGAGCAAGCGCAGTTGTTCACCCTTTTTCTCATAAGAATTTGCAAGATGCTTGCTTGATTGGGCCGCCCATCCACTAATCGCATCTATACAATCCCATCACCTGCCCATTCATATCAAACAGATTCAATCACCACCATTCTATGGTCCCGAATATGTGGTTTCATCCCCTACATCCACCTGGTTTCTGGGGGTGTTGAATA